TAGTAGTAGTAGTAGTAGTAGTAGAAGTAGTAGTAGAAGTAGTAGTTAGTGGTAGTATGGTGTGTCGGTGATGGAGTAAGTTTAGTCGTTAGTAGTGAGAGTTTATGTTAAGAACATACACCACTATACCTCAGATAGTAGTAGTAGTAGTAGTAGTAGTAGTAGTAGTAGTAGTAGTAGTAGTAGTAGTAGTAGTAGTATAGTAGTAGTGGTGGTTGAGGCCCTCCGTTTCCTCCTCTGTTTCCTTTCTCCCGTTTCCTTCCCCTTCCCTTTAATTACCCTCCCCCTCTTCCCCTCCCCTCTCCATCCCCCTTCGCCCTCTTTTGCATCTTCCTCTTTTCCTCCCGCTCAATCATCGCATCCCTTGTTCTGGCTCCTCCCTGGGAGGTGCAGCAGAAATTGAAGCAGCTCGTCTCGGAGAACAAAGTAGTGCTGTTCATGAAGGCCTGGGGGCGCGAGGCGTATGCCGACACCCAGACTTGGGCTGGGCCGACCCTGGGCAAGTGGTTTTGGCGTGCTTTCAGTGCTTGGCCCGGCTAGGGGCCTCACTCTTGTATGCTGGGGCAGGAGGAGGACGACGAGGAGGAGGAGGAGGAGGAGAAGGAGTAAGAGGATGAGGATGAGAATGATGACGAGGAGGAGAAGGAGGAGGAGGACGAGGAGGAGGAGGATGAGGAGGATAGGGAGGACGGAGCAGGGAGGAGGGAGTAGGGAGGAGGGAAGGAGGGAGGGAGGGAGGGAGGGAGGGTGGAGGAGGAGGAGAAGGGGGATAAGGAGGAGGAGCAGGAGGGTGGGGGGATGAGGAGGAGGTTGTGGAGGAGGAGGAGGGGGATGAGGAGGAGGAAGAGGAGGAGGAGGAGGATCATGACGAGGATGAGCATGATAATGCGGATGATGATGGTAATGATGATGATGATGATGATGATGATGATGATGATGATGATGATGATGATGATGATGATGATGGAGAAGTATGCTGAGGATACGGAGGAGGAGGACCACTGTAAACCCAAGATGCATCACCGATGTTGCAACAACAACTTCATTCACATTTCCTCTTCAGCTGTCACTGCAATCTTGTTTCATTGTGGGAAATGGTGATTTGAAGGCAACCTTCTGAACATCACAAAAACAGATTTACTGGGACTCCAGTTCCGCGAATGAACGTGACTGTTGCGTACTGACGCTCCTAAATCGTGCCGGAAGACCACCCTGGGGTCTTCAGCACCGCGAGTCAACGTATCTGTTGCGTCCTGACAGTCCGAAGTATTGCGAGAACTCCATTCCTGGGGCTTTACGAATTTGAAGCTGTTGCGAACTTTTAAGACGAATGTGCACGGCGCTACGGTGATAGCTACATTTTGAAAAGGAACCGCCCTACATCCTTGCACATGACGATGAAGGTGCGCGGCCCTGAGGCGAGAGCCACATTTTGGAAACCACCCGTCCTCCATCCGTGAAGCTGCAAACGTTTAGGATAGATGTGCGCGGCGCCAAGGCGAGATCTACATTTTGAAAAGGACCCGCCCTCCATCCGTGAAGCTGTTGCGAACGTTTAAGACGAATGTGCGCGGCGCTCAGCCGGGAGCTGCATTTCGAAAATCACCCGTCCTCCCTCCTTGACACTGGCGCGAGCTTTTGGGACGAAGTGCTAAAGCGAGAGCCACATCTTGAAGCTCACCCGCCCTCCATCCGTGAAGCTGCTGCATCTTCAAGCTTCAGGAGCATACATGGTGAGGGAGTCAGGCGAAACGCCCAGCCCGCCCTGGGGTGCGACAGGGAGGAGCTACTTGTAAGGAACAGGGATGAAGGGAGATGATGATCGCCCTACCAACAAGTCTGGGGGTGCGGCAGGGAGGTGTTATTTGTCAGGAACAGGGATGAAGGAAGATTCTGATGATGAGGAGGAGGATGAGGAGGAAGAGGACATTTTTTTATTTACCAGAAACAGGCCTCCGGCCGGCCGGGCCCAGTTGGATGGTCGGTGTATGTTTGGCGTTCTTCCATGCAGGGGAGCCCGGACATGCCCCAGTGTGGCTTCTCGCGCACCGTCGCGCAGGCTCTCCTTTTATTCTTCGCGGCCTCCTCTCTCTTTCTCTCTCGCTGTATGCATCTGCGTGCCTGTCTGCCTGTCTGTCTGTCTGTCTGTGTCTGTCTGTCTGGCTGTCTGTCCGTCAGGTCTGTCTGTCTGTCCGTCCGTCCGTCAGTCCGTCCGGCCGTCCGTCCGTCCGTGCGTTCGTCTGTCCGCCAGTCCCGGTCTTTTTCAGTTGTACTTCAGCGCGGCAATTATACTTGCTCTTTGTGCTGACTTCTGCGTCTTTCGGCGATGCGCAACAGAGGAATGTAATGACGATGATGATGATAATTATGATGATGATGATGACGACGACGATGCTGATGACGATGACGATGACGATGACGATGACGATGATGATGATGATGATGATGATGATGATGATGATGATGATGATGATGATGATGATGATGATGATGATGATGATGATGATGATGATGATGATGATGATGATGATGATGATGATGATGATGATGATGACGATGATGATGATGATGATGATGATGATGATGATGATGATGATGATGATGATGGTGTCGCGGGCATGAGGTACGACGAGGAGGAAGAGTAAGGAGGGGGTTACCTGCCCAACGCCCGTTTGTAATTTGTTGTCGTCGTCGTCGTCGTTTTCGTCGTCGTCACTGTCCCTCATCGTCGCCGCCGCCGCCGTCGTCGTCGTCGTCGTCGTCGTCACCGTCGTTTGTCGTCGTCGTCGTCGTCGTCGTCGTCGTTGTCGTACCCGTCGTCCCTTGGTCTCGCTACAACATCCAGGCAGTCACAGCCAGACACTCACCCCGGGACGTGCCAAGAAATGGCATGCACATATGGGGATCTTCGCGTCGAGTTTGTCTTTTTTTGTGGGGGGGTCTCGAGTACCGTATGGACTTGCTGCAAATACGACTGCCGAGTCAGTGGCGCACCAGAGATCCTTGGATTTCAGCGTGCTTTGCTGCGCGCGGGGCTATACCTTGAACAGGCCATTGAAACGGCTTGGCAAATGACTCCAGAGCTGGGGGCATTCCACCGCATATATCTATCGGCCTTCGGTCCATCCCGCCACTGTGCCTGTCTCGGGGTGCCCTTGGCCAGTCTTGGGGCCCTCCTGGGCCCGAAGGAGCCACGCGAGGAGACGCGCTGGGGCCTGGGAGGCACGCCAGGTCCCAGTCGACCTGAGTAGCGATTTTGAGTCCGATTGCGGCTGTGGTTGCGGCTGTGGCGCTCGGGCTCGGGCTCGGGCTCGAGGTTGGGCTCGAGCTCCGGCTCGGGCTCGAGTTCGGGCTCGGGCTCGGGCTTGGCTTCGGGCCCGGCTGCGGGCTCAGGCTCAGGCTCTGGCTCTGGCTCGGGCTCGGGCTCGGCTTCGGGCCTGGGTGCGGGCTCAGGCTCTGGCTCTGGTTCGGGCTCTTTCGCTAGGACCTCTACGAGGTCCGCGGCGGGAACCTCCTTTGGGAATTTCGGAACTCTAGGTCCCCGCCCCTTGTACTTCATGCTGAGGGCTGAGGACTGAGGACTGCAGGGGCCCTGAGGGCATTCCAGCTCGTGCTTCGCGGCACGGCGGCGGACCGCTGGCTGGTCGCTTCTGGCTGCGGCAAGCACCTCCGGAACTTGCGCGGGCCGTTCACACATCGCACGGTGGAGTTTCTGTTCATTTGGATGGCTTCTGGGAGGTTTGGCGCCAGATTTAGACCAGGCGAGTCTGGATCCGGCAGAAGCCCGAAGTACGGGCGAGCATCAGTGTGCTTCGCGTTGCCAGCCTGGGGTCGGCAGGCCAAGTCGAAGCACAAACCACCAGTGGCAGCAACCTCTTCACTCACTTCAGAAGCCCGTGTGCACCAATCTGCCCCAACCCCAGTTTTGCTAATGAACGCGCCGCGGCAACTTGTGCATGTGAGTTTCTCCTGTCCCCCAAACTCTGCGCGAGAGCATGCAGACTATCACCACCTGAACAGTACTAGTTATCGTAAATGCGCACTCGGTGTCCGACCCTCTGCAGCAATCGCAGGGGATAGCCCTCCATCCATAAACCCAAGGGCACTAACCAGAACATAATGCATATGCTTGGCGCTTCGTGTATCCCCACCAGCCCATCCAGCACCGATGCCCATCAAAGCTGTCTGGAGGAGTGGCGTAGGTAAGCATCTAGTGAAGCAGGGATGCCAGCAATGGTGTGGTTGGAGACTTCGGGTGCAAGACGTGCAAAATCGGTGGGATCTTGGGGATGGCTCCAAGAGGCATCCAAGACGCCCAAGATGGCCCACCAAGACGGCCCAAGATGGCTCTAAGATGGCCCAAGACGGCCCAAGATGCCTCCAAGAAGGCCTCTAGGAAGGCCCGAAAAGGCCCAAATCAATTCGCTTCTTTTCGGCCTTTGAGGGCTTCTCTGCGGCCTCTTTGGCCGTCTCAGGGCATTCCTGGCCCGTCCGACGCCGTCGGAAGCCGTCTTAGGGGGCGCCTCTTGGGCCGTCTGGGGGCCCTCTTGGGGCCGTCTTGGGGGCCTCTTGGGCCGTTCTGCCGTCCTGAATGCCTCCTGGACGATCTTTCTGCGCTCTTGGGCCGTCTCGGGCTGTCGGAAGACCGAAAAGAAGCAAATGCCAAAATCCTTCAAAAAGCTAAGGGGAATCAATGATTTGATTTTGGCCTCTTCGGGGGGCCTTTTGGGCCGTCTTGGGCCACCTTAGAGCCATCTTGGGCCATCTTGATGGGCTCCTGGCCTGTCTGACGCCGTCGGAAGCTGTCTTGGGGGCCTCTCTGGGCCGACTGGGGGCCCTTTTGGGGTGCTCCAGGGCCGTCTTGAAGGCCGCGTCTTGGAGGCATCTTGGGCCGTCTTGTCGCCCTCCTGGAGTGGTATTCGGGGCCTCTTGGGCCGTTCTGGGGCCGTCCTGGGGGCCTCTTGGGGGATCTTGGGGCGATCTCTGGGGGCTCTTGGGCCGTCTCGGGGCGTCGCAAGGCCGAAAAGAAGCAAATGCCCACATCCCTCAAAAACCGTAGGAAAATCAATGATTTTGGCCTCTTCGAGCCTTCCTGGAGGACCTCTCGGAGGCCACTGGGACTGTCTTGGAGGCATCTTGGAGGCCTCTTGGGCCGGCTTGGAGGCATCTTGGGCCGACTTGGAGGCATCTTGGACCCTCCTGGGCCGTCGTGGAGGCCATCTTGGACCATCTTGGGCGAACTTGGACACCACCTCGGGCCATCCGAGCCGTCTTCGAGGCCGTCGAGGGCCATCTTGGAGCGGGAAAAGGCACTGACCCCAGGATTTTTTTGTGCACGCTGAGGTCGTTTCCGGGCTCTGTGCGGCCTTGTGCGGTCTTCCGGGTGGCCGGCGGGCTTGGCCAGACGGAGCCCCAGGGGAGAGTTCTTTGGAAAAACAACCAAAAACAAGACCGAAAGGATCCAGCACGCCAGGCACCCCTGTGACAAGCACAGGGGGCGGCGGATCGAAGGCGCCTACGGCAAAGCACCGCCGCCCCCTGCCTTTTTGGAAGCGCCTGCGTGGCCGAAAGTTGGGTTTGAGCTTGGCCAAGCTATCGGGCCACGCGTTCCCCGAGTGGGTTTCGCAAGCCTTCGGGGAACACCGAGTCGGGCGAGTTATCGGACCGGGCCGTCTTGGAGGCTTTTGGCGGGCCTTTTGGGCAGTCGAAGGCCATCTGGAGGCCACCTTGGGCCGTGTTGGGTGCATCTTGGGGCCATCTTCGCTGTCTTGGAGGCCTTCTTGGCCGTCTTGGAGGTATTTTGGAGGCCATCTTGGCCGTCTTGGAGGCCATCTTGGGCGTCTTGGGGGCCTCTTGGGCCGTCTTGGGGCCTTCTCGGGGACGTCTTGGGGGCCTCTTGGTCTGTCATGGGGCGTGACAGTCGAGGCGGCCCTGACGCCCTATCCGACGGCCTTCCCGACGCCTTACCCGACGGCTTACCCGACGCCTTATCCGACGGTCGTCCCGACGCCCTACCCGACGCCTTATCCGACGGCCTTCCCGACGCCCTACCCGACGGCCTTCCCGACGCCCTACCCGACGGCTTACCCGACGCCTTATCCGACGGTCGTCCCGACGCCCTACCCGACGCCTTATCCGACGGCCTTCCCGACGCCCTACCCGACGGCCTTCCCGACGGCTTACCCGACGGCCTTCCCGACGTCGGGCGGAGCCGGCGGTGTGGCTGCCACTGGCGACCCCCACCTGCAGACCGTCTACGGTGAGCGGTTCGATTTGATGAAGCCAGGCAAGCATGTCCTGATTCACATCCCTAGAGGAGTGCGCGCTGCAGAAGCATTGCTTCGCGTGCAGGCTGAGACGCGCCGAATTGGTAGCTCCTGCGCGGACATGTCGTCGGTGTCAATGTTACGGGGTCTTGGGCAGAGGCGAAGCAAGCTGGATGGTATCGGTACGCCGTGTCCACACGTGTAGTCGAGACTCCAGAATGGGTTGCATTTGAGAAGGTTGAGCTGAAGGTCGTTCGAGGACACACGCAAAGTGGCATTCACTACTTGAACTTGTACGTGAAGCATTTGGGGCGGACAGGGTTTGCAGTCGGGGGCCTGCTGGGAGAGGACGACCGCAAAGACGCAATGACTCCTCCAGCACATTGTGCTCACCGTGTGGATCTGTCATTATGATCTGGGAGTGAGCGGCAGTGGTCCTTCCGTGTCTTCGGCTGCCGTAGCTTACTTCAACTGATTATATTCAGCATCACGTCCTCCCCAGGCGAATTCGCGGCGAAATGCAGAGTGCCGCACCTCGAGTTGTAGCTGTCTGGACTCTCGGCCCTCGCCAGCTTGCCACACAATTGCAGGACAAACTCTTTGCCGTTTTTGCTGTCACCCTTATCTCTCTTCCTGCGTGTTCATCGCCCACTTACTTGCCTTGCTAGTTTGTCTCTCTCTCTCTCTCTCTCTTTATCTTCTGACGCCCGTCATGCTTACGCATGAGGCGATCCACGGATCTGGCGCTCTCGCAGACACCACTGTCGAGAAAGACAGCCGCTGCGTAAGTAGGTGCACACATCGTCTGTCATCTGGCCCAAGCTCATGCTCGCCCTTTTTGAGACTGACGCTTTCCTCTTTCTGACCGCTTCCTTTGGCCAGATGTGATCGTGTCACAGCAAAAGTAAGTGGAAAAACGGCCCGAAGCGGCCCCCATATGGCCTGAAGAGAGCCCCATGACGGCCTATGATGGCCCCAGGACGCCCCTCCAAGCATTCAAATCGTGACCTGGTTGTCCAGGGAGACCGCGGTTGGAAGCAGGGTGGCCCGAGGAAGCCCCAGGAGGCCTCCAACAGGCCCCAAGAAGCCTTGAAAAACTTCCGTGAGGCCCCCAAGAGGCTCTAAGGAGGAGCTTCCGCAATAAGATCTGAAAAGGATCGGGACGGATTCCCAGGACAGTGCGATAATGATGAAGAGGAAGAGGAAATATGTGGGAATGATGCTCATAGCATGATTGTAACGACGATGCCAAAAAGCAGGAGTTATCGCTAAATGTTCAGTTTTATGTTTCTACGCTTCCGCCTGCATGCCACACAAGGACCAAGGCGAATGGCGCGAAGCGTCAATGCAGTCTTACAAAGTATATCTGTACATAATATATATATATATATATATATATATATCTATACACATTTGTAAGCAAATAAATGGCTTTCGGTCCATCCCGCCACCGTGCCCGGTCTGTAGTTCAGAGGCATCTTGGATGCATATGAAGGGGCTCTTGGGATGCCTCGTGGGGACTCTTGGAGGGCTCTTGGGGGCTTCTGGGGGGCCTATTGGGGGCTTTTTGGGGCGTCGTCGGGCCCTCCTGGGCTCCACTTGGGGCGTCTTGAGGGAGCCTCGGGAACCTCTGGGGGGGCTCTTGGGGCTATCTTGGGGCGGAAGGCTTGACATGTCCATTCGTGCTCCCCCTCTTTGGCCCCTCTTGGGGCCCTCTTGGGGAGCCTTTTGGGCGGTCTTGGGGGCCTCTTGGGCCGTCTTGGGGCCCTCTTGGGGCGTCTTGGGACCCTCCTTGGGGTCTCCTGGGCAACACTGGGGCGCCATCGGTGCTTTTTGGGCCGCCTTGGAACGTTGGAAGCTGAAGCATGACAGCTCAAATCTCTCAAGCACAGAAGCAACATCAATGACTTTTGACCTCTCAGGGCCCCCTTCGGGGTGCTCTTGGGGCTCCCTTGGAGCTTGTTGGGGGCCTCTTTGGCCGCCTCCAGGCCATCTTGGGCGTCTGGGAGCGATCTTGGAGTGACATGGGGCCCCGTGAGACCGTTTTGGGGGGCTCGTCGAAAAATCTAGGCCCCTTTGGAGGCCCTCCTGGGCGGGGTTGCCATCTTGACTGCCCCCGCGACACGCCCCACAAGCTTTAGAAGCGCCGAGGAGTGCCTGGGACACCCTGGGTCCAGGACCGTAACAATCTTCAAGTCCTCTACCTCTCAGGGCCGCATGGGCCTTGGGGCACTCCACTTCGTGCCTCGAGGCACGGTGGTGGACACATACTTTATATGCATGTATATATGTATGTATGATTTTCTGCCTGTCTGTCTGTCTGTCTGTCTGTCTGTCTGTCTATCTGTCAGTATGCGTACATGCATGCATGCATGCATGCATGCGTGCATGCATGTATACATGTATGTGCGTATGTATGTATGCATTTATGTATGTATGCAGGTATGTATGCAAGCATACCTACATACATGCAGGTCGTTAGGCAGGTAGGTAGGTAGGTAGGTAGATATGTAGGTAGGTAGGTGTGCGTGTATGTA